GAGAAGCATTCTTATTAAATGCACTAAAAATATTACATGTACGCTATCAGACATCAGACAGCTTCAGAGACATTTACATACAAAATCCCTCTAGTCAGGTTCTGTGATACAACCAAGAATCTTCCTACACCAGGAAACAGACAAAGCTTTTATAGAGTGTCATGTAAGGCACGAGCATCATACCGCACAGGAACAATACTGTGTGTTCAAATGGTGCTAAACACAGAGTGACTTTTCACTGTATTAACCAGCATTTAACACACCACCCAAACATCTGAACCCTTGAACTGTCTGAGTTCCAACACTAATGTTTAAGCTGTATAAAAATCTTTTCTCTAAAAAACATTCCAGGAATCAACTTTAATAATTTAATACAAACACTAATTAGTGAGTTAGAAGACTGACATATTTTAAGCTGATGGGAACAAAGTCTTCTATTTTTGATCTATGATTCCTTTAATGCTTTAAATTCACACTGATAAGCAATACAAAATGTTTTGAAGAAGAAAGGATATTCTGATGATCACTGTGGTGTTATTATAGGAACAGTTAAAGAAATTGTGACTAAGAAAACAGCCCCACACATCCTTCCCCCACCTTGCCCAAATTGCCATAAGCTACTAAAAATGCTGTGCAACTATACCTTAAGCAACCTCTATACAGGCAGAAGTTTCACACACAGTCGTCCTGGTTTCCTACTCTGTTAACCACTGTGTAAATTTAAAAGCCTTTTAAACTCTCTTGGCATCACTCACCATCCAAGTGCACACTTTTATTCCATATCACAAGTGAGTCCATTCACCCTGTTTCCACTCCATCCCAGAGTAGCTCACACTTTCAATTAAGACAAGAGGTATAAACAGGATCTACTCTGCATGGCTGGTAGGTGATGGAGCCACAGTCTGCTTATCCCCCAGGAGCCCCACTGCCCACACTGTTAGCTGAGCTACTGAAGACTTATGTACAAAGACCTAAATCTACTAAATCAATATAAAAGCAGGATTCAGGTTAACAAAGACATTTACATCCATGTAAAACACATCTCTGTTGTACTGGCAGAGTGTCCATTAAGACTGTCACCTGCTTAACCAAACCTTTTTTCTGAAGTCTTTTTAGCTACACTGGTAGAATACTACAGGAAGACTTCTTATATATATGTGTGCATAGAGTCATATATCAAAATACAACCACTGTACAGAAAGAAATGCTGTAGGTGTTAAGATACTACTTCCTAAATTTGAAACTACAGAGTATCCAAGCGGTTCAGATTATTCCTCGCTTAAGGTCATTCATGTGTCCAAAGCCGCCCATATGTTCTTCTGTGTTGGCTGCTATTAGGAAACTGATGATGCTGCCTGTTAACACCATGTTCCAAATAAGCTAACAGTGCAAGACTTACCAAGCAAGTATTCGACAGGCTCGATTCTCGACAGGTGAGAGCTTGAGAAATCAGAATTTTACTTATGACAGGCGACAGAACACCGGCTCTTATCCACGGAGCTTTAAAGTTTCCCTTACCCCAGTTTTCCAAACGGTATTTTGTTGTGGTATTAAGATCACTGCAACTTTGGAAGCATTGTATTAATTCTTTGGGGCAGTTAGGGGCTTTGGTACCAATTGGTTTTGACTGCATTCCTGATTAGTGCATTAGTAGCAATAACAGAAAGCCTTACCCTGCTGGGTCGTAGGTTCAATCGGCTGAGAGGCTGCCTGCAAGACTGGCTCAGAAGCAGAGGAGTCTCCCAGCACAGAGTTTAGAGAGTTCTCAACAGAGGCAGGGGTAGCTGCAGAGGGAGAAGGGAGAACACTAGGCTTGGATGAGGGAGTCGAGGCATTCGGGGAGTTGGGAGAAGGAGAAGCTTGAGGTCCAGAGAGTGACAGAGGCGGAAAGGAAGGCAGTGGAGGGGGAGGAGGTGGCGGAGGCGGAGTTGGACCTGAGGTAGAAGGTGAAGGAACCGGATAAGCCAGGTTTTCAGGAAGCCCGTTAGGAGCTGTGGGAGACGTGGACATTTGGGTCACTGGATTAGAAGCCGACACTGGGAGGACAGGTCTCGGCCCAGTAGCTTTGCCTGGTGGACTGCTTATCATTACTGGAGGAGACGGGGGAAGGGGGGCGAAACTGGGCGTGGACCAGGCAACAGGCTTTGTACTCGGAGGCAAAGTTGCCGGGGCATTGACGGGAGAAGGGGGTCGAGAACTTTTGTTCAGTGGACGAGGAACCGTAGCATAATGGGGGAGAACAGGGTGGAAAGCTGAGCCTAAAGATGTAGCAAAACGTGATGCAGAGTGCTTTAGAGGCGGTGTAGGGGGAGTGGAAGTCGGTGGTGCAGAAGTCACTACAGCGTACTCCGGCGTGGCCTCCGACATTGGTGCTGAGACTGCTTTTGCATATGATGGAGGAGGTGCTGAAGGAGGCTGGCAACTGGAGTATTCAGGAAGTGGAGTGCTATACGGGGAGTTGTCGAAAGATGGAGCTGGACAGAAGATGGAAAGCAGCAGCAAAGGCAGGATAAAAAAAGGAGAAAGAGAAAAAGGGAGCTAATGAAGCAACAAAACCAGCATTCAAACAAAATGTATAAACGTAGACTACAGTTAGTACCAGAGGATTAAGCACAAGTGAAAATACTGTTAGGAAAGTTTTACATATTATCAACAGCTGCTTTTAAATTTTAACGACTATTTTTGTGCCAACATTTGAATTTACACGTACATTCTAGAGTAAGTTTTCTCAAATCCCATCTGTGAGATGGATTAGATATAGGGTTGATTAATCAGTCTTTTATCAGCTTTTATCTTCTTGTTTGGTTGCAAACTGCAAGCAAGTGTAGTGATCTTAACATTTGTTACAACTCCACTAACAAAACTCATACCATAGGCAGCAAGTATCATCTTTCTCTTCCCCAGAAAAAGCTCCATCGGAAACTTGAAAGTAGTGGAAATAAAACTACCAATAAAATCCTCTGCTCTATAATGACTAGCTCTTACATAGTATTCCTTGACTTTTACCATGAGCTGACTTCTTATGTAAATTGAGTTTGTTACTAAAGAACAATCAAATGCTTGACTAATGTGCCATTATATTACCAAAATGAGAAAGCTCTCAGTTATCACTGGATACATTTCCGCAGGCAGTGTATTATCTTATCTACAAATACATACAATACATGTCACTGAAATATTACTACAAAGCTAAATTAAGCAAGACTTCATACGGAAAGGCAATTCTCGCACTATTACTTTGCCTTATATAGGTACATACCTTCTACATTAACACACTCTACCTGGTATGTTTAGGGTTTTTTTTTCCAAATTATGCAATGGGAATACATTTTGTTGAATAGGGCGAACAATGGTAAGGTATTTAGAAATTTTAACTCATCATACTTTAACCAATGTTGGAGGTGCCCAATATGATTCAAGTTCTTCAAGCAATCAGAGTATGGCAATGGAGTGAGCAAATAGCGCACAAAAAATTATTTAATAGTTAATGGAAAATTATGACAGGAAAGTTAAAGCTCTTGGACTTCTTGCCATAAAAAAAAAAGGAAGCAATTCCAGCAAATAGAAGCCTGAAATATTGACTGTTGTTACACAACTGTACTCACTGCCCTTTGTTGCTTCTCTCCCACTCCATCACCCAAACACATAAAGAGTAGTCTGGTACTTGAATACACTCAGTTTTGAAATTCTTACCAGCATTTGAAATTCTTCTCTCTCTTTCCCATTCCAACTGTTCCCTTTCCAACTGTTCTTGCCGTTCTCTTTCTTGCCTTTCCCGTTCAAGTCGTTCAAGTCTTTCTCGATCCTGCCTCTCCTTCTCTTGTCTCTCCCTTTCCAGGCGCTCTTGCCGTTCCCTTTCTTGCCGTTCTCTCTCCAGTTGCTCCTGTTCTAGGCGCTCTCTTTCAAGTCTCTCCCTTTCTAGCCTCTCTCTCTCCAGCCTCTCCCGTTCCATCCGTTCACGATCCAGTCTCTCCCGTTCCAGCTCCTTCTGCCTCTGTTGCTCTTGCAACTGTCTACAATTGTGAAAAAAGGAAAACGACTAAGCTGCAATTCGAAAACCGAAAATATCAAGCAACTGTTAAGAGTACAAGAAGAGAAACGAATCAACAATCTTTGCACCAGTGAGAACAAAAGCACAGCATTTGTACCTACATAAAATTCTTAATTCTACATGTCATTTTCCTGAGCTGGATAACAGTTTTATTATGTTTACAGTAAAAAGAATCATATATCCAGTTTCCTCTTAACTCATTTAACATTCTGAGAGACAGCTTTCAAGAGGTAAGAATAGAAAGCTGCTGCCGATAATTTACTAACTGATACAATCTTCCCAGTTTGGGATATGGAGTTACATTTGTTCTTTTATACTTGAAGCAGTGAATGAGGGTACAGTGAAATAACAGTAACACAAGTACTCATTAAAAAAACACCCCCAAATTACACTTCAGATAAACTAGTCAGCTAGTATTTATCCAAATTTTACAGAAGCATCAAAATGTACACATGTCCCTCTCCACTTGCATAATACTACACACACACACCACTTAAATCAGCATCAGGACAGGAACACCCTGAAGGCAGGGGAAAATTGGACATGGTCAGAAAAAAAATCCAGGGTGCAGCAGCCAAAGAAACACTGGAGGGAACTGGCAGGGTTTCCAGCTCATGGGAATCTTTGCAAAGGAAAGCAGAGAGGGGGAAGACATGGAGAGGAGGAAAACAAGTAAAAGCCAGGCAGAGGAAATATAAAGAACTTCCTAAGGTAAGAACGAATCACGCAAAATTTGCTGCCAAAGCAACTAGGTTGGCATAAAGAAAGGACTTTCCTGCAAAAAAACTGTGGGAAAAGCTGTAAACAACCCTTTTGGGCTTTTTTCCTCAACTTGTTTTATATTTTCTTCAGTCTTCAACATTTTTTTTTAAAAAAAGATACATGTTTCTAGTTGACTAAAATACAGCTTTTTGATCTTTCAAACCTTTTCCATCTCTGGGGGGAACTCACTACTAAAACAAAAATCAGGCACATCCTCCTCAAAGCTGCGGCCAGTATGTTCCCGTCAGTACATATCACTGAAAATGTTGTTAGTTATCATCCTTTATTTGAATTCTTATTTACAAAAAAAAATAACTACATTTAAAAAGAAAAACTTGTACATAAAAAGCACACAGCCATTTTTTTTCTGCCATGCTTCAGATGAAAACTGAAGATAGGTTCTCAACAAATACAAAGCACAGCCAGTTTTTAACTATAAAAGCAAAAAGGAGACCTAAATTTTGACACCTTAAGCTACTAGATATGTGTTTTCTATAGACTGCCACTGGGCAATCTTCTTTGGAAAGGTAATTGGTAATTCTGTACTATACACTTAGAGTCATATAAAACTGAAGTCTGAAGATGAAGGGAACTTCAGCTGTTTCACTCCTATTCATGCCCACAAAATAGTGGCAGAACTGGAAATCCCAGCCCATGCACTGTTACTATTGAAGTCCACTCTCTTTCAGATCAATGTTTTTCCTTTATAAACAAAAAAACCTGATAAATACTGAAATTTCATAATTGCTATGAACAATTAAGTTCCAGTTATGTAAAGGACTTTTCCCTACTGAACTTGTTACCCAGTATCCTCAGATGCAGCAAACTAGTTCTGCTCCTGTATCAGTTCTTCCCTCAGCTCCTGCCCTCCCATATAACAAAGTTGTACTAGCAGTCACTAAGGCACTAGGGCTGCAACTCAGCTTGTTAAATGCTTGATTTTTAGCCTCTGAAGGCCATAAAAAAGTCTAGTAATTGATTGATACATATTTGAAACCAGGAGAAAATTTCTACAAAATATCAAGAGAATACAATATAGACCATAGAAATTAAAGCTCAAAAAAGATATTAAAAATATTTTTGGCATTACATTTTTGCTTGCTCTGTATTGTACAAAACTAGTTTTACTACCTGCTCCTTTTCCCTCAGATAAAACCTATTAGAGGAAAGCGGGGTTTTCACCATGGTTAACTTCAGCTTGGGCAACTTATGCTCTTTTTTTTGTAAAGGAGAGGTGGATGCACACGCACTTCTAGCTAAAAGGCTATTCAGAGCAAGAGTCAACATTTACAGAGTCCAAAGCAGCTTTATTTCATTCATTCTTTTGCATTCATTTGCCAGAAATTAGCATATTCTACCTAGAAACATACACACTGTTAATCCTAAAACTAAAATGTAGATAAGACATTTGAGGTTATAAACATTTCGTGTTATATTTAGTTTATAAAACTAGAAGGTATCAAATCACTGGGTTTAAGAACACATCGAGCAGCTGCCAGATAAGATAGTTAAATTTTCTTTTTCTTAAGTTCTTAATTTCTTTACAGAAATAGAACCTCGATATAGGTCACTTCTCACATAAGAGCAGCGTCACCAAGACAGTTCTACAATAAGCTATACTAAGAGCTGTGCCATCTCTTATTTTCACAAGCAACGTGGAAAAGAAACAGCGAGGTGCTCTCAACTAAGCTCCTTAATTTTAAGTTATTTAGGATCAAGGATGATGGCTGATTACAAAGAACTACTGATAGATCTTCTAATTCCAAGTAATTGGGCAATAAAATTGGTAAATAAAACTCAACTGAGATACAACTGAAGTGATGCAGGGGAGAGAGGGGAAATCTGCTAAATTCATATATAAAATGCTGGACTTTGAGTTGACTACTGACTCCGGGAGTGAGATGTTAGGGTTACGACAGACAGTTCTATGCCAACATCCATTCACTGATGTGTTCTGTTCAAAAACATAAACCAGATGCTACATATTAGGAAAGGATTACAGCGCAGTACAGAAAACACCATTATCCTGCTTCACAAACCCTGCATCTCTGTTCCCAGCTCAAAAGGGAGAAAACAGCAGAACTGAAAGTGTTCAAAGAGCAGCAATACCATAATCAAATGTACCAAACCATTTCCACTTAAAAATAAAGAAGCTGGAATTCTGCATTCTGGAAAAGACAACTGGAGGTCTATAAAAACTTGAGCGATGAGGACATCCTAACAAAACACCTAGGAGGAAAGACTTGATGCAACTAGTAAGAGCAAAGCTCAAAAGAAAAGAGCACCTCTGCACATCAGGCAGAAGAGGTATGGAACTCCTTGCCAGAGTGATTCAAAGAAAGAGTAGGAAAAAGCCCTCAGGGGAAAAAAAAAATAAACAAGAACCAAACAAAACACCACACACACAAAAAAAAAACCAACCACAAACCAACCATAGGAGGTCATTTAGAAAACAGAAATTGTATCATGCACACGCAGCTGTTGAACCAAAAATGCCAAGAGGATGGGAGAGCAGCAGAGGGAAGTATTCCAGGTGTTTGTCGTGGCCCAGAAGGGTTTTACTTAAAGCTTTTCTAACTATTGAGAGGGGTAAGTGCACGTGTGTATATAGTACATAAATATACAGGAGGGGTTGGGAGTGGGAGTGTATATAAATGTTTACTCTGTCTTTATATAGTACGTAATTACATGCAATTTTAGTTAAAGCATAAGATGTATGCCTAAAAAACTGTTTGTTTGGGATTGACTAGTTCTCCTAATACGTGTTAATACATTCCTGAAGCTTACCTGGGGGTTTTCTCCTCTTCAGAGAGCTATAAAGACACACAATGCCCTTGTGTCATAACAAAATGTACCTAAGTGTTTATATGTTTTAAACTTAACTGAAGTAAAAAAATATTTCAGCTGGCAATCAAACACTATCAAACTGTACCGACTGTCTACTAAGATACAGATAAATGCACTGAGATAATCACGTTCATTTACTCAGGTCCTGAATAAAAAAAGTTCTCAATATTAAATTAATATTGTGTGATTCAGTATTTAAGTTTTTTTTTTTTGTAAAAGAATTCTCATTTTCCATTTCTTAAGGAAATAAAGGGATAAAACCAGAAATTTTTTGAAATTTACAATTAAAAACTCTGAAGAACTTGAGCACTTTGCTTACAATACAAATGCTCTACCAATAGAGGGAAGCAAAATACCTTGCAAGCATTTCTTATCTTATATAAAATTCCCATGCAGTAGGTTACAGGAGAGGAAATACACCATTGTTGAGAATAATTTTAAGGCATCCCTTTGTCAATAAGGAAAAGCAAAGCAACACAAAAACCCCAAAACAAAACCAATCCAAAAGAAAAAGCCACACACCACAACCCATAACATCTTTACAGTAATTTTAACAATTTTAATAAACCTTTCAAATAGAAAACCCAAAGTGGCACAGGTCAAAAGATCAGTACACCAGTAAGGCAATCAAGTTGCTTTAACATAATTTAATGATCAAGGATGAATTTTGTAAACTAAGAACTACAGCTTAACAAGTCTTACAGTTGTAGCTTACAAAGATTAAGAACTCATTATAATTATTTAAAAAAAAAAGAAGATAAATTTGTTTGCATTAAATCCCCTGGTTTTGTTTAGTTAGCATTAGATAATGTAATTTTGTTTTACAATTTTGTCAGAGATCAAAATTACATTATGCAACAGCATTAGTACATTAAGAAGAGTCATTACACATCGATTAAAGCATTTCTGAAATGTCAAGACTTTGCTAGTTCTAAAGCACAGGAAGGTTCAAGAACATTGCGAAAGTAATACATGAAAATCCTTCAGCCTTAGAAAGCTGAAGAGGTACTAAAAATGCCCCAGAAAGCTATCTTATACTGAAATGCACATTATGCTAAGACAAAGTGATTCTAATTATTTTAAAAGTGTGAATTACTAGAATCTTAAGAGCTAATTTACATTGAACAGCTGAGACTGTTATAAAACTGTACAGGACATCAGTCATATGCAAGGTACTGAATCTAAACCCGTGTGTAACAAAGAGTCAACTTCAGAATTTCAGAGTAACTACTAGCTTTATCACATATCCTATTCATGAAACTTTCTTCTTGGATTTTAATTAGTTTCATGCCAAAAGCATCTTAAGAAACTTCACTTGGGGGGTGGTGGTGGTGGTGTTTTTAAGTTAACTTT